TATATATATATATATAAAATTGAATATCTTTTGGGGAAGCTTTTAATCTAATGGTAAAGGTGGTTCGAAAGTTGCTTCGGGGCATAGAGTGTGACCATTTTTATATATATTTTTTGAATCTGCTACTGTGTGAAACAATGTGTTAAAATACCCTGACGTATAGTGTAGATTTGGTTTTACAACAGTAAATTAAAGTTATCTCGTGTGATGAGTGGCGAAGCCATATGGTCACAAGGGTGACCACCCTTTGTCGAAAAACTGCACAATGTATATAGGTAAAATATTACGTTTTAGAGGTATATAACACATATTGAATATTCTTTATCGAAAATTTTCTTTTACTTCTTTTAAATTTGAATATCTTTGAAAAAATTCCTAACTTCGCCACTGCACGTGAACCTATAAGTCGCGGGTTCGAGCCATGAAAAAGCCAATAATACTTGCATTAGGATATGCTGCCTACATCACACCCTTTGAGGTGTTACCCTTCCTTAAACCAACGTGAATGCAGGATACTTTATACAACGACTGGCGTCTTTTTAGTATATTTGAATTATAAAAACCATGGTTCACAAGTAGTAGTGTAGAACTTTTGAAGTAATGATGGAGGAATGAGTTGCATACTTTTTCTTTTGCATGGAGAAGTTACCCTGAATTTTAGAAATGCAAAACCCACGTCCACCATTTTCTGAAGAATAAAAGATTTCTTGTGGCAGCTTTTGCTTTTCTTCTTTTTCATTTTTCCACTTTCTACTTTCAACTCCTTTATTCCCATTTTAATTACATCTTGTCGTACTATTTTCTAACCTCTATTTTAAATTTTTTTTCATGCATTCTTTTCTTTCTTTTTTTCCTTTTTTCTTAAATTAAAAAGACATAAAAAAGCGAATAATATCGGTAAGAGTTGTGATAGAATGGATAGGATTTCTTTACTTTGGGAGAAATTCAAAAATAGCCAGATTTACAAGTGGTCATTCAAAAATAACCATAATTTTAAAAGTAATCGAAATTTAATCACTTTTCTTGTAAAGATAAATCTGAACGAAAACACGGTTCAAACTCCGAAAAATACTCCAGCATAATATACTGGAGTTCCAGCATAAGTATAGTGGAACTTCAGTATATTATACTAGACCGGTCTCTGTTGCAGCAAAATAGTGGCTATATTTCAATGACTTGGCAAACGATGACTATTTTTGAATGATCATTACGAAAACTGACTAGCCCGTGCTATTTTTACTAACCAAAAATCTCGATTTCGAACCTAGAATGGAAAAAATCTTAGTATGAAGCACTTTCCTATTTGATAGGCTTTACAAAACGTGAATTTAGATTAGTCGGTGCCTCAATTCAAACCTCAGACTTGGTGAAGAAAGAGAAGAGAAAACCGTACTCATAGGGTAATTAATTAGGATTATGATAAGAAAGCAAAAAGATTACTGCTATACTTTTGCTTTTCTTTTCTTTTCTTTTATTCTTTTACTTTGGTTGTTTTCTTGAATTATTTTATTAAAGATATAATAAACTTTTCTTTTCTTCCCTTTTTTTGTTTGCTTTGTTGTTATTCTCTTCACGAGGAGATTTTGACAAATAAGTCCAAAAAAAGACCAGTATCTTGACTTAAGTGCTCTACTTTTCTCAAAGTAATATTTATTTAATGTATCCATGGCTTGTTTGGTCGTGTGTTTGTCTTTTTTAATTATTTAATTTTTTCGTCTATTTAAAGTAGAAAAAAACAATCAGATCTTGTTATGATCCAGTTACTATATATGTATTAGGATTGCCTGCTTCTATAATTTGTCTTTTCCTTAATTAAATTATTCGTTCCTATTATCCAAATATATAATCAACTCTAAGACATATAAAAGGGAGAAATTCAAAAATAGTCAGATTTATAAATGGTCATTCAAAAATAGTCATAATTTATAAAGTAATCGAAATTTAATCACTTTTCATGTAAAGATAAATATGAACGAAAATATTGTTCAAAATCCAAAAAATACTCCAATATAATATACTGGAATTCTAGTATAATATACTGAACTTTCAGTATAATATACCGGTCCAACATAATATGCTGGAAGTACATACACAGGTGCTCCAATCTCTGATATATTAAGCTGGAACTTTTCACGTGTTGGAGTTCCAGCATAATAAGCTGGAAGTTCATACACAGGTGCACCGATCTCCAGTATATTATGCTGGAACTTTCCGTGTTGCAGAAAAATAGTAGCTATTTTTCAGTGACTTTACAAAGGTGACTATCAAAAACTGGCTAGCTCGTACTATTTCTACTATATAAAATCACCTCAAAATAAACATAGAATGCCGAATCTGCAGGTCATCAGCAGATGATTTTTGTACTTTTTTTACTCTAGTAGTTGGAAGAAAAAACTTTTATTTGTCCTATTGTACGTTGAAAAGTTTTACTTTGACCGTTCCACAATTATTTTATAAAATAACAGTTGAATTAAATGACAAGTACTGTAATTCAAATGTTGTGCACATTTTTGGATAAAAGAAAACATAAATTTAATATATTTTCAGGCTAATAAAGTATTTTAGTATAATTATGTTTAGCTATAGCTCCTTAATAGGAATTAGTGACATAAGTACTACTTCCTTAGTCTCAAATTAGTTTCATTATTAAGGGTCAATTGAGCTAATTTTATGATTTGCATAATATTGTGATTAATTAAATTAGTGTCTTATATTGACTTGAATAAATGATCAGTTGTTGTCTCTTTATATAGTTTTTTTTTGGAATGATTTTCACCTCGTGCACTAAAGTTTGGAGTCGAGATAGACCCAAGATTCATCTTTTTAAGATGGTACCAAAGCCTTATCTATCCTTGTTATTGTGTTTCCCGTTGCGGGTCTGTTGTTATGTTATTTACGCTCCAGCTGTCAAAGCATTGGCGTGCAAGAGAAGGGAGATGTTAGATTTTTCCACATTGATTGAGTAAACGAGATATTTTCGTTATATAATTTTGCGCTTTTGGGTTGAGTTACACTCGATATCTGTATTTTTTTTACGAGCAACGATAGTGAAATTCAACTGAATTGAAGTATACATTTATTTTTTTTCATTTTAATTATATGGATAGTGAAATTGTGATGACTTAATTTTTACCACAAGATAGACTGAAAAAAACATAATTTTTTACTCGAAATTTTACAGCAGTAGAGAAGGATGGTTGCAAGCAAATTCCATTGATGCAAATGGCCTTAGATCACCTTGCTTTCCATCTAAACAAAGATCAGGTCACCAAATTGAGGTATTTCTCATACTTTTTTATTTTAATTTCATAATCTTTTATGTACAAGAATTAAATCATTAATAGGCTGATCGAAAATTTGAAGCTTATAAATTCCTACAACGACTTAGAGATAATATATAATATTATATAATTGGATTCACGGTCATAGATTTATATATTTTTAGTCAATTTTTTATTTAATTTCTATTATATTTGTCTTTTTTTAATTACTATATTGAAAACACTATGATTAAATGAACTAAATGTATTAATTTTGATAATCAGAAAAATCCAAGCTTGGAGTTCACATTAGGAAGACCAGATTGGGTTGAAAAGGAGCATGATTGAAGATAAACACGTTCGAATTAAAGCATGGGCATCTGCTATTAAAAGGGAGCAGTAAATCGTCGATCGTATTAATCATCACTTCAATTTGATCTTGATTTAGCTGATTATTGTTTTGACTCTTTTCCTTTTCTTTAATTTTGGAATGGAAGAGAAAGCTTGAGCATGAAAATATTAAGAGCTACATAAAAAAAAAAGAAAAAAAAAAAGAAAAAGAAAAGAGAGGAGATGTATGACCTAAGGTTATATAGCTAATTAAATATCCATGCAGATGACCTATAGAGTTGGATGTATTTTTTTTTTTTTTTTAAAGGTTTCCCGTCCATATTTTAACCTACCCCGCCTTTTTTTCCATGCCCGAGATGGTTTTATGAGTAGCAGCCTCCCATATAGATGGCTTTGTGGTCGACTTCTATTCTGCTTGTTCGAAAGTTCTTTCGGATCTCTTTCCAGGTCAATCCATTTATCAATATCTGATAGTGGTTGACCTATATGGTATTTATACCTCTTTAATTTTTTATTTTTGGTTTTGTTAATCTTTTTTTTTTTTAATATATTGGGTTGGTTGATATCTAGCCATTGGCTATGAATCTCTAATGTAAAAGTTCGATTAATTATTAACTTTAATCGTGGACATTTGAAAAAATAGAAAGAGTTGAAATTCAACTGGAAGTTTCTGTGATTTCTTCTCCTAATCTCCTTCCTCTTCAGCCCCTCCCAAACAAACCCTAAAAATCATACTTTTTTAAATATATGTATGCATATTTTTAAATTGCAACAACCCTGCCAAAATGCATATTAGAAGCTAATTATGAGTGAAAATAAGAAAGAATATTAGTTTGATCAATATTCTCAGTGGCGGACTCAGGATTTTGTGCAAGCGGATTCAATCTTAGAAGTATATAACTTTAGTCGTAAAATAGTAGTTGTCAAGTGGGTTCAAATAAATATTTATACAAAATTTACACAGCTTTAATTCTAATTTATACATATACACAGTATTATTTTTCTGTGAAGTGGGTTCAGTTGAACCCGCTTGCCACCACTTGGATCCGCCACTGAATATTCTCATGCATGAGATACATTAATATTGCCAGTGGCGGACTCAGAATTTTGTGCAAGCAGATTCAATCTTAGAAGTATATAACTTTAGTCGTAAAATAGTAGTTGTCAAGTGGGTTCAAATAAATATTTATACAAAATTTACACAGCTTTAACCCTAATTTATACATATACACAGTATTATTTTTCGGTGAAGTGGGTTCAGTTGAACCCGCTTGCCACCACTTGGATCCGCCACTGAATATTCTCATGCATGAGATACATTAATATTGCCAGTGGCGGACTCAGAATTTTGTGCAAGCAGATTCAATCTTAGAAGTATATAACTTTAGTCGTAAAATAGTAGTTGTCAAGTGGGTTCAAATAAATATTTATACAAAATTTACACAGCTTTAACCCTAATTTATACATATACACAGTATTATTTTTCGGTGAAGTGGGTTCAGTTGAACCCGCTTGCCACCACTTGGATCCGCCACTGAATATTCTCATGCATGAGATACATTAATATTGCCAGTGGCGGACTCAGAATTTTGTGCAAGCAGATTCAATCTTAGAAGTATATAACTTTAGTCGTAAAATAGTAGTTGTCAAGTGGGTTCAAATAAATATTTATACAGCTTTAACTCTAATTTATATATATACGCAATATTATTTTTCGGTGAAGTGGGTTCAGTTGAACCCGCTTGCCACCACTTGGATCCGCCACTAAATATTCTCATGCATGAGATACATTAATATTGCCAGTGGCGGACTCAGGATTTTGTGCAAGCAGATTCAATCTTAGAAGTATATAACTTTAGTCGTAAAATAGTAGTTGTCAAGTGGGTTCAAATAAATATTTATACAAAATTTATACAGCTTTAACCCTAATTTATATATATACGCAATATTATTTTTCGGTGAAGCGGGTTCAGTTGAACCAGCTAGCTACCACTTGGGTCTGCCACTGAATGTTGCAATCAGTAATTCTAATACAGTGAAACTAACAAACTAAGAAAAAGAAATACTTACAAATGTGAATTTACTTAGGGTGTGTTTGGTATAACGGAAAATGTTTTTCGTGAAAAATGCTTTTCAAGTAAATGTTTCTTGAAAAATTAGTAATCTTATTCATTTTCCAATGAGATTAAAATCTCACTTAATCTCAGATTACTTTAGTAAGAGATAATCAGCCGACTAATCTATTAATCGAACTAAGGCAACTCCAAACATGTTGCATCTAATTTTTCAACGATAACAACAATAAATTCAGTAATTTTCTACAAGTGGGGTCTGAGTGATGGATTCTGAGGAGGGAAAGATATACCAACCTTACCTCTACCATGGAAGGGTAGAGAGACTGATTCCAATAGACCCTCGGCTGGAGAACAGATGAAAAAAAGTAATGACAACAAGTAGGAATAACAGCAAGATAAAAAGACTAAAGCCAAAAAAAAAAAAGCAGTTAAACTTTAGATAGCCATAGCAATCTATGAAAAATTGGATGACTAGTAGGAAGTTGAACGTTTCTCTTTGTCATACTCAACTCGACTGACAAATTTTGTAACTAAATAAAAAAAATCTGTTAGCTATGAGCGGTTTAGCGACGAAGTTCACAATTGATCTTGTTTTTTTGTAGTGAATGGAGAAGAATTAGGGATCGTTTGGTTTGAATACAACTTATGTTGGGATTAGTTATCCTAGTATTGTTTCTTATCCGTTGTTTGGTATGCTGTATTAAAAATAATAATTGTATAATTTCTAAGAAGATGGTATAAGTTATCCAGGCATTAATTACCTCACCCCCTATAAAGTATAAATTATCCCGGTATTAATTTTAATCTCGAGATAACTTATCCATATTTGCTAAACAAACAAAGTATTAAGGTGGTATTAAAATTTTATATCAGCACTATAATCTACTTATACCTCGTACCAATCGACCCCTTATAGTGTACAAAGCTTCAAATTGGTGCGTGGATATCCCTTTTTTTTCTTCTTTTATTTCTATCCTTTTTTAACAATGTCAAAAAAAAATTCAAGGAAAACATTTAGCCACCAGGATTTCTTTTTCAGAAATTTTCTTATTTTTGACAAGATAATGACTTTTCAAGTTTTCATGTACGAAAATGGACACTTTTGAACAAAAATGAGTTTGATAAATAATTCCGGTCTAGTTAGGGGTAAAAGTGCAATTTTTAAAATTGACCTGACTGGCTTTTTGACCATATTGGTCAAACGTGGACCACATCTTGACTCCCAATGACAAATGTCAAAAGATTATCCGTATATTTATATCCCTTTTGACTTGCTCACGTAATTAATTTCAATTTTGTAATTATTTTAAAAGTGGCAAAAAGATTTTATATACTTATCTATATATTTATTTATCTATACTACATTAAAAACATGAAAGCTTTTAGCAAAATGTCGTTCGTCTTTTTTACCCTTTAAAAACAGATTTTTCTTTAAATAAAATCGTAAATAATTATTTTTTTAATATTTAGTACTTTAAAATCAACTTAAATTTTAATTTTTATATCTTCCCTTCTTTGAACTACGTAAGAATACCTAATATTTAGGACTTAAATTAAAGACTTTGAAGGTAACCATTATTTTTTTAAAAAGAATTATGTTCACATTTTGAAAATTAATATTCCTTATAGAAGTCCAAGTCAACATAGCATACTTTTAGTGTCTCTTAAAGTACATTTATTATTTTTATCCAAAAATGGTGTAGTTATTCAAATTTCTGTTTTAAAAGGCAGAATTAGGACTCGTTCGGGGCTCGCCTCGAAGCGGAGCACTCGTAAAACGTCCCTGGGCTTATGTGTGGGGCTTAGTTCCGTGAGACTTACGCCTCGGCTATTGGGGCTTACGCCTCGGAATGCCCAACGCCCAACGTACTGGGCTCGCCTAATAGAACTTTATGCAATTGTATGTAACTAACCTTGTAAATCCTCAAATTTTCTGAATAAATCGTTGACTATTCAAAATTACTTTTTCCTTAATCATAAATCATTAAGTTGAGAGTATTTTGTGTCATAATTAAAATAAATATTATTGTACGTTATCCACTAAGACTGCTATGATAGTTAATTTAAATAAATCTTTCATTTAAAAAGTATTTATTTATTAACTTTTGTTATGTCTTTACTATATAATAGTCCATAATTTTTTTATAATTATTTTTCTAAATATTAATTTTTTCATGTTTACGAGATACAATACTTATTAATTTAATAGCTCAGTATTAGCTAGTAACTATTTACAAATAATTAATTATCATGGTATTGTATGTTGAATTATGTGTCACTTTATTAACTTGTTTAAACTTAAAAATAAATGATGCTAGAGAATCATATTGAAATTGTGAATTATGAATTTATATTAATTCTCTTTCAAATAGAAAGCATATTAAATAAAGAGGGTATTTTAAGAAAAATATCAAATTATAATATCTAAATTCTTTCAAGATTCATTACTTCTTAAGAGATATTAAGATTTCGTATCGAATACATTACTTTTGATGTTTGAGTTGTAATGACGTTGCGGCGAATTTGCATATTATGATATATGTTATACTTTTCGTATTATTCATAGTTGAATTATACTTTATAAATATTTTAAATAGATTATTTCTTATAGTTTTGTGATTTTATGTAATTTTTATAATTATTTTTTATTTTATACTATTTTAAAATTCTTGAAATTAGTAAAATTTAATGATTTGTGGGACTTACGCCCCATATCTCAGGGCTTACGCCTCGCCTCGTCAGAGGTAAAACGCCTCACCTCACGCCGCCCCTGCCTTTTAAAACATTGATTCAAATTCATGAGATTTCATTGTTTTTTTTTTTATTTTTTTATTTTTTTTTAACTATGGTCTTGACTTGCGTACAAATTTTAGTTTTTCAATTTTTAATCCTTAATAATTAATATCCACCTCATTATCCACCAACATTATACTCTTGAACTCAAATTCAATTTATCTAATATTAGAGGAGCTAAAAATAATATTAAGTACAATTTTATATTAGAGAACTTTCGTGGATAAGATTTCTTCCTTTATTAAGCCAGCTAAATAGGATCAATATCTATCATCCGCAAGAACTAACATTTTTGCTTTAGTTTTTAATTTTATAACTTCAACATATTATTCATTAATATTTGTATAATTTTTTTTTTGCAATTATATATTTATTAAGATGAGGTACACGCGCAAGGTGCGTATCATAAGACTAGTACTTGGTAAAAAGACATAAGTAATCCTAAATAGAAGGTTGAACTATATACCTAACATTTTTG